TCTAAGTGTGCATTTAAGGTGCCCGTGTGTCTGTCCCCAGAAGAAATTCTGGGTGAGGACATTGGCACCCATGCTGTACAACCCACTTGCCTAAGGTGAGCAAGGTGGAGCTGTGCTGGGTGCCCCTTCACGCATGCTGCGGTACCAGCACTTGCTCAGCCACACCAGGTGGGGTGGAAAGGCTGCCTTTAATCTATGGAACACATAAAAATATATATGCAGTGATAGGGAGCATGTAATAATGCTAGAAGGTTATTTTGTAGCTCTTTTAGAGATAGTGGTAGAGGCGAATGCTTTTTAGCCTAAGGCAAGCCAAAGAGAGATGTCTTGAGAAGAAAGAATGGAAGGCAGCAGGTAGAGGTGAGATGGGACAGGAGGGATAAACATTTCACTTGGGCAGCTGGGACCAACCACAGAATGAGGTCAGGCTCCTTTAGGTAACCCAAGAAAAATAAGGCTAACGTTTAGATGGAGTCTTTGTGCAATAGCTGTATCACATAATTGTGATCCATTTTATATGCTACATAATTGATATTTTCAGGAAGGTTCTTTCAAAACCAATCCTTTGGAGTAACTTTTTTCTTCTTGGAATCGGTTGCACGAACTCTTTTGTCTCTGACTTACAGCTGGAGGTCAACAGTGGCTTAGTTAAGTGTATTCCAAGCAATGAGTATATGCAGGACAATAGCAGAATTGCATGAGCCATAACAGTCTAAAAAGGAAGGTGAGGCTGGTCTGTAGGAAGATGAAGTAAGTTCTTTAAGGCCCACCTGATACAGTTAAAATGAGCATGTACTTCAGAGATTTCAGGGCTTCCCTACATATCTGAGGAGCCGCATTAACAATTTATGGTGTCCTTACTAGCCCTCCTGGTTCAGATTCAGAAACCCTCTGACCTCACATTAGGTAAACTACAGTGTAGTTAATGACTTCATCCTCCAACTCTAGTCTAATCAGTGCTTGAATTAGTAAAGGGTAACTATTGAAGCCTACTGATTTAATAGCCCACTGCCCTTGCAGTTATAACACCTACAGAGTCACAGAATGGTAAAGGTTGGAAGGGACCTCTGGGGATCATCTAGTCCAACCCCTCTGCTAAAGCAGGTTCACCTAGAGCAGGTTGCACAGGATCACATCCAGGTGGGTTTTGGAAGTTTCCAGAGAAGGAGACTCCACAACTTTCTCTGGGCTACCTGTTCCAAGGCTCTGTCACTCTCAAAGTAAAGAAGTTTTCCCTCACGTTCAGGTGCAACTTCCCATCTTCCAGTTTGTGCACATTGCCCCTTGTCCTTCCGCTCGGCACCATTGAAAATAGTCTGTAAAAAGAAAATGACTTTGTATGTAGTCTGAGGGCTTCTTTCATTGCTTTTCATTTAGAGCAGTTTCTAAGAGAGTGTTTTGCTGGAGTAAGAAATTCAGCATAAAACTCTGATAAAGCAAAACTTGCAAAACAAATTTTTTTTTTTTTTTACAGCAGTGACAAACTACATAAAATGAAACACTGTGCCATCTGTTAGGATAATAGTTTTCTGAGGATGCAGGTTGCTGCTGTCTGCCATTTATAGAAGGGTGTTCTTTTATGTGATTGCGGGGAAGGGAACTTCTCTGAAACCAGCAGTTGGCAGAAGACTTCACTTCCCCATTTGCAGACCGCCCCCAAATTTCCCAGCTTTTTGGAGACCCTGTGGCTTGCCTCTGGACTTGAGCATCCTCTGGAGGCTGGCACACACCACTTCTCTGATCTCTCTCTCTCACAGGAGGTGATGCATTCCTAGTGACTTGATCAGAGATGTAAGTTACAGTAGCAAATATGACACAAACCATAATTTTGGATTGAGGCTGAGATGATTCTTCCTTTCCTGTTAAATTGTTCATTGCCTTGGACCATTAAGCACATCCAACCTGCAGGCGCTGGGGAGACAGGGTTGGAAGACAAACTCTTTTTGATGATTTCCTTAATACTGGATGGAAGATTTTACCACATTTTTTTCTGGCAGAGTGTCCTGTCATGACCAATGCAAAAGCAGTAATTGTGGCTTCCCTGAAGGTTCATTATGCCTGAAATTCAAAATACTTCCTGGTTGTGCTCTCCTTTTCTCTTTAAAAAGTCTTCTGTGTGGTGTAACTTCAATCAGTTGTCCCCTACCTGGTGATCCTGCATGGCTCTCCGACATCCCAAGTGTACGACACCCTGTAGGTTGTACATCCAGCCATCACACTTGTTACCAGGTCTGTGACTTTTGGCACAGGATCATCTTGATATGATTGGGCATTTGTGTGCCCTGGGGGATCCTGAACACTGCCCAATGTCAGAGCATGAGCTTCTGCTGCTCAGATCAGGTCATTTGGACTCAAAGCACGAGTTTTGCTCTGGCTCCGTCCCTCGCTGGGGACACCAGGGGCACCAGGGTGCAGCCACACTGCAGAGCAGACCTGCTGTAGGTGACCAAGCTGACAACAAATAAAAAATCAATTAATTGGTCTTTTAGGATTGTCCTCTATAACCTGAAGAGCTAAAAGAACTTTTCTGACTTTTATCTTTAAACATTTGAGTATAATTTTAAATCCTTGCAAGAAATAAGAGCTACTAACCTCTATCCCAATACTGAGCTTGGAAGCCATATCCTTTGATACCAATAGTCTTCATTACTTATGAAAAGTAATTTGTCAGGAAATGTGTTATTTTATAAAGAACCTGGAACTATGAAGTGAAAATAATTACTCTCTAAGCAGTTTAATTGATTTGAAATGTTCCTACAGAAGACTTAGTTCCTATATAGTGGTCTGTATATAGATTGTGGTCCTGGTCTGAGCTAGAACAGAACTAATTCTGTTCAGTGATTTTACTTTTCATCTCAGTCTGTTCTAAGTAATTGCTTTTTCTGAAGTTAATGGCATATTTTTGCAGACAGTATCTGCTTCTAGCAGTGATAACAATGTTTAGAGTTGCTACCAAGGATTGGTGTGCAGAAAGGCTTTTGCTTATACTTGCTCCTATGGAGACCAAGGTGTCTCTAAATCCTGTGTACCACGTTGGGAGTGCAGAAAGTAAAAGGCTGCACCTGTGTGGAGGAGTGGACAGGACACGTGACCCAAAACTGAACAGTGAGGTATTCCATCTCAGAATGCTTTAGAAAATAGAAGGATAAAATGTGTTAAAGGTTCCTTAGCTAGTTACAGACATGTAAAGATTAAATAATATTTTTGTTTTGTTCCATAAGAGAAACCTAATTTCCCTTGCTAAAATTAAGACAATCAAAGTATGTGGAGGCCAGTTTAGGTCTGTGCCCTCTTCAGGCATTCAGTTAAACATCTGCTGATTTGTTACATTCATTCCCATTTAGCAAATAATTTTAAGATTATTACTTTTATTGAAATCCATGGGCTTAAGCTTGGACAAAATTAGGTCTCTCCTAATGCTTCTCTAATTCAGCATTTCCCACTTTACGCTGGTAATGTTTCATGGGGTTTGGCAGCTCTTACGGTGAGCAGAGGAGCCAAGGTCGCTCAGCGCAGCACTCTGACAAATAGAGGTGGGGAGCTGGACACTGATGGTGTCCGTGCAGCCCTGGCACAGCAGGGCTGGTTTAACCTTGTATCTCCACCCAAGCCCAAGGAAAGGATGCTCTTCCCTTTGAACTTCCAATGTACTTGGTGGTTATGGCCTCTCTTTCCAGGCAGCATTTTGATCTTCCACACATCTTTTCAGGCTTACTTGCCATCCTCTGCTGAAGCCATCCATGTCTGAGCTCCACACTGTACAACAGAGAGATCTCTCATGTAAGAAATCACTGACACTAGCAAACATTGTGCATTATATATTTGTATCCACACATAACCTTAAAATGTCCTAGTTTGTAGTAACTCTATAAACAATATTTTCCTGTGGTTTAGTGGCAATAGTCACATTTTTGTTACTTGACACCATCTGCCAGAAATATTTACTTAAAGCTTATGCTAGCTCTAGCATTTCCTGGTTTTAGCCTGATGCAGACTAACCTGATTTCAAGGGCATTACTTTTAGTTACTTTTCATTTATAGTAGTCAGGGCAGGATCAAATGTGTGGCATTCAGAGAGGTCACAGTCCTGCAAACATATTTTCTCCTCCTTTCCTCTGAGATGTCTGAGTTATCACATGTAGACTACATCTGGTATCCGAGCCATATGGGGTAAACATACCAGGACAACTGTTCAGTGGATGTTGTGGCAGAGGCAGAATTTAGCTTTGTCCCTATAGGTGTGTATCCATGTATCCATCCATGCTTTAGCCATATGTGCATTTTATCATATGCAGGATATAAGGGCTGGAACAGCTCTCCTGAAAGGACAGGCCAAGAGAGTTGGAGTTGTTCAGCCCAGAGAAGAGAAGGCTCCAGGGAGACCTTATGGCAGCCTTCCAGTATCTGAAAGGGGCCTACAAGCAAGCTGGGGCAGGACTTTTTACAAGGCCGTGTAGTGATAGGATGAGGGTAATGGCTTCAAAGAGGAAGAGGGTAGATTTATATTAGATGTAAGGAAGAAGTTCTTCACTATGAGGGTGGTAAGACACTGGAACAGGTTGCCCAGGGAAGTTGTGGATGCTCCATCACTGGATGGGTTCAAGACCAGGTTGGATGGGGATCTGAGCAATCTAGTCCAGTGGGAAGTGTCCCTGCCCATGGCAGGGGAGTCAGAACTGTATGATCTTTAAGGTGCCTTCCAACCCAAACCATTCTATGATTCTCTGTATGCGTGTCACTATGTAATTGTATTAACACCATTTCCCATAAACTGTAGACTGGGACTGAGAAATGCTCATAAGTCTTTCACTATACTCCTGTAAAAGTGCTTAACAGCTTACAAATTTTTTTTTTTTTTCCAAGCCAAAAGAACATTTCCAAGCCACTCACATGCAAGAAGTGCTTTTATTCTTGCCTTAAGTGAAAGCCATCAAGGTCTGCAAAAAGCTGAGTGGAAAATCATGCTCTACCTTACAGCAGGCAGGAAAATCAGCTGGCGATCATGGCTCAAAGGTCCCACAGTTAATAATCTTACAGGCTACTGTAGGCCTTTCATAATATGTAGGTACAGCTTCCAGTTTCTGGAGGACCTCTGTGCCCTCGATCAGTTGCCTACAGGAGGGAGAAAGTGCACATATGATCTGTTGTCATCTGGAGCCAACTGCAGCCTCTGGCTTGTGTGCAGCCATAACAAACCAGGCGCCCGTTTCCTACTGACAGGCTGCACCCTCTCTGCCTTTTAAAAAGTTGTTCTTTGCAATGGAGTTGCTAATGCCACCAGTTCTTGATTACGTACCCTCTAGTTGGCATTTTAGGAGAGGCAGAAATACTATGGCTCCATTTATTTAAAGAAATAAGCATTTTACCATGTACCCCAGCTAAAAATGGCCATTATTTTTGAGGAGAAAGAATCAAGAGACATGCTGTGTTAGAAGTGACTCCCTGAGAAATATCTTTTGTTTCCTTCCTTCACAGCACTAGTTTGAATCCTCAAAACAGACCAAAATTTTGCAATCCTAATGATTTTCAGACCTTCATTTCAGATTTTCACCCATAGTGTGGGAGCATGAGTGGGTGCCAGCATGGCAATAGATGCCACCAGTGCTCTGGAAAGCTTCATACTGTTTCCTACCCCACCCCATCCATCCCACTCTTACCAAGCAGGGAGGACACTGCAGGCAGCCCCTGCCCAAGCTGACACGTTGGAACGAGTGAGCAGAGCAGAACTGGAAAGTGCATGGCTGTCCTCATCATATGTTGTGGCTGCTTTTTGCTTCCTCAAGATTAAACTCCCACTCAGATTTATGAGGGCCTGGCTGTAAGATCATGGACCCCCCACCTTTCAGATGACACTGAGCCCGTGGCTGAGGTGAATGCCACTCGTTACAAGTATACCCAGCCAGCGGTCGCTTTTGGTTTGTTCTCAGTAAGTTAGACAGTCACATTTTTCGCTTCCTTTAAAAATTATGGCTTTCTCCATGATGTGGCTACATGGAAACTGCACTGTGAATTACTCCCTCTATGGCAATACCAATGTATTTTGCTGTCTTACATCAAGCAAACTTCTCAGAGCAGGAATCTTCATTATTACATTCCTGAAAATCTAAAAGTCTTAAGAGGACCAGCTCTACACATTAACCTACTGAGAACAAACTCCCAGCATGCATTCACTAAAATAATTTCTTTCAGCTCATGAAGGCAAAGCGGAGCTCAGAGGCTTTGCCCAACACCCCCCTGTCCACCAGGGCCCACCTTCAGCTGACACCAAGTTACGCCAGCATGGATTTGTAGCCTTTGCCCTGGAGAGTCCCTGGCAGCTTTGCCATAGGGTTTTCCAGCTCGAGCAAGCCAAGCCAGGGCAGAGACAGGAGGGACAGGTGTCACTGGGTACTTCAAATCTAAGCTATCCATCAGCCCCCTGGCCAGAGGCATATGCATTGCAGCTGTAGGGATGTTTTCTGCCGGGCAGCAATGTCCTGTGGGGTGCCAGGGTGATCTCCCACACAGTGCAGCGGCAGCAAGCTTGTGCATACCTACCCAAAAGCCACGTATTTTTTGTCCAGTTCGGGAGCTGGCTGGAGAGTGATGTAGAACTGCGAGCCGTTGGTGTGGCGGCCCTTGTTGGCCATCCCGAGGACCCCTCTTCCATTGTGACGGACGGAGAAGCTTTCATCTAGGGAAAGCATTTGGGGATGAGAGGCCACAGCTGTGTTTGCTGCTATTCACCATACAGCTCCCCGTTCCTTCTTACCCACTCTCCCTTTCCCTTCTCCTTTTTCCCCAAATGTCTCATCAAGCCTCATGCAAGCCAAGTCTGTTTTGAATCAATGTCTTTCCTAGAAAGAGCTTCCCACTACTGCCTAGTGCTTAAGCCAGTAAAGAAGCTAATGACAAATATCCATGAAAAAGTACTCCAGGTATTTCTGAATATTAGAGACACAGCAGCGATGCCTCTGGCTCCCCATTGTCAGTCTGTAACACCTTTTGCTGGAGGTGCACTTAGCATGGCATTTCCCTGGACCTGATTAGCATTTTCCCCACTGTTTGGAAGAGGAAGACAGGAAGCAGAGCAGATACTCCAAGCAGAGCCTCTGCTCTGCCTTCCCTCATGCCACTGCCTGTGGTAAAGAGGACAGGATTCCCCATGAGCACAGACAGGCCTGTGAGGGCAGGGCATGCCTGGCTGGGGTAGGATGCCCAGCTGCTCCCAGTGCAGGGGAACTGAGAGACTTCTTCAGCCAAATAAAATGACACAGATGAATAAATGGAGAGGAGATATTTAGTTAAGGAGACCTGGGGTGCTCACAGAGTAGGAGCTTTGTTCCAGGGTGAGGAGAGGAGGCAGGCAATGGGAGTGAGAGCTGCAAGGAGGTGAAGAGGATCCTCCATGCTGGCTGAGGAAGGACTGGTAAAAGGGAGAGGAGAAACAGCTCTCAAGAAGGATGACTGGGGGAAGATAGGCATCAGGCTTGCTTGGGCATGGGGGATGATGGCAAGGACTTGATTCCTTCTCTTCTGTGGAGGGAAGCCTCCTCATGAGGCTTATGAGGTGGGGAGCAGGGAGTCCACTGATCCTCACCTCCAACACCTGCCTTGGACCTGATCACACTGAGCAGACAAGAGCCCCACTGAGCTCTCAGAAAGCTTGAAGGAAACTGTAGAAATAGTTATATGTTATTGTTCCATTATTTTTGTCTTAATTCTTTTTGTACTGTTCGAGTGCGCTTCTCAGAAACTGATTCATAAAAACAATAATTAAATTTTAAATAAGCAGTTACTCCCTGACTGCTGCCTTGTGGTTTGCAATATTACTTCAGTGGACTAATTTTGGAGTAGGATGCTTTGTCCTATGACGTCATGCTCCAGGCCAAGTGATTCTCTGTAATTACCTCAGTCCTTTCAGCCCATTACAGTAAAATGCAGTTGTGTCCCATTAATTTCAGTAAACGTTGCAGTACCCAGGCACGTGCCAAGAGCGGAGTCTCCCAGGACATTACTGGCTGACAGAGGCATCTCTCATTCTTTTCAGATGTCAAAGATATTTGTCCTCTGCCCTCAGTATAAAATAGTTTTGTGGGAAGTACTGGGAAACCAATCTAAGCCTTAAAATAGAAAGGCATACCGAGTGGAACATCCTTCTCAAAGATGAAAGCAACTTTTAATTAAAAAGTGAGGGGAAGTATTAGCAATCCTCTCCTCTAATACATCAACACGTGGAGTATATACAATATGGGTAATAAAACTCTTACAGCGACACTTGCAAGGTTGACAGGTTCCAAATTAAATCCACCTTAAAATTACTTAAGTGATTTTTGATGCATTGTCAGCTTCCCACGTGACATAGCAGCATCTTTCCTGGGTAGCACCGGGCAAGCACAAACTTTGCCTGGAGGAGGAGGAGGAGGATGGAGCCAGGAGCAAAACACTGCATGCTGGTCTGGGGCTGTGTGTCGCAGCCTGGGTAGCGTGTGTGGGGCCACAGCTCTCCTGTATGCAGAGATGCCTACATGTGCTCAAACTCATTTCCTCTGTGGATAGTTTCTACCTGAACAGGAAGTGCACAGGGTGTGAGATGCTCACTAGCACAAATCCGTTGAGTAGCACTGATGGAAAAGAGGATTCACAAACTTCAAAATCCTCGGTGATGGCCACCTTGCAAATAGTTTAACAGCCGGTATTATTTTTTTTGTGGAGTTTGTGTCCTTTCTGAGATGTGTGTGTCCTGAGAGTCTAGGCTTGCTGCTATTTCAGGAGCTTCAGCATCAAAGAAGTGACTTTTGCCTCTTCCTGCCCTCACGCTGGGCTACCAGCAGCTTTTCTGCCTGCTGGGCAGAGCTGGCTACTGACCCGCCTCTAGCTGGCTCTCCCTCCGTCTGTCCTGGGGCCTCGAGGTGAAAGCAGCTTCTCCTCGTGAGCAGGCTCTTTAGAATCTTGGGAAAGAAAGTTTTCATCTACACTTGACAGTTCTGATCTCACTGATGGCTGCTGCTCAGATGTTACCTCATTTGTGACATTGGCAGAGGGAAAGCTTTTATATAAGGGAACATAAATCAGTTTCAAAAGTGCTCTGGCTGTCATAAAACGCCTTTATGGGTTAGCATTTAGTCTAAACAGAGGATCCAAACATCTATGTCAATTGTGTGTTTTTTTTTTTTTCTTAAATATTGCAAGTTATAATGTTCTTTTTCCTCTATGTTGTATTACTTTATACCAGTATGTGGGAACATTTTTTGTTAAACTTAGCTCATGTTTGCTATTTCTCGACTTTCGTGGTTTGATGTGAGATTCAGAATTAACTCCCCTTAAATCTGCAGAGTCATGTAGAGGCTGGCAGCCGTGCCTGCTGTGTGCCCAAGCCTGAAAAGCTGCCTGAGGTCCAGGAAATCTAGAGTCGATTGTTTTAAATGCATTTAAACAAGTGGTATCGGGTGTCTAGAGATCTGTAGCTAATCCACTTCTGCATTTCTAAGGTCTTGTCCACAAAGATGAGTACTCACAGTTTGAAGTAGGCCTCACCTTTGTAGGCGACCATCAGCCCTCATTCAGGCAGATAAAAGGGGCTTGGTGAAGCTGAGCCCGGACAGGGGACTGTCCTGAGGCAGTCAGGGAGGGGACAGGGTTACAGATCAAAAAGTGACCTCACTAAAGCAGTCCACTCATGCCAATACAAACAATAATTGGAAAAACAACCCCTTTTCTTTAGGGAGATGAAAGGAAATTCCCAGGTTATTCTGTGAATAAGATCAGATCCGCAGCTTGATTTTTGTGGGAATTTGCCATTTGCACTGTAAGATAGCTGAGGAAACATACCTTCAAAGGTGGGACCATAAATTGATTCTCCTCCACCTCCCTTTCCAGTTATTACATCTGCAGGGGAGATAAAAGTAACCATCAGAAACCAGGTATATCACAAGCATTGTTGGGGGTTGTTAGCAGCTCATCTGACATCAGAGGCATGGGTTGGGGAACAACTGCATCCGTCTCTCTCATGCATCCCCTCAGTTTTATTACTGAAATTTCAACAGACCTTTGGGAAGAGCTCTGCTTCTGTCCCAAGAGCCAACTACTCTATGGAGAACTATTTCATCTGATGGTCTTAATTGCTGCCCCTCTGAAGCTAGTATCTCAAGTGAGAATATGTCATCTCCACCCCCAAGAGAGCTCCTGTGGGGCACCCTGGAGAATGACATCTGTCAGAGGGAGTAGGGGTGGGAAAAGAAAGGATAAGAATGCAGACGTATTATGGTGAGTTAAGACCACTAAATTGTCTAAGAAAAGAGGTTTGATAAGACAGAAGTTCCTGTTGAGTCAGACTTCTGATGGGTAAGGTACTAAAGAGGCCAAATACCTTTTTTTTTTTTTTTTTTTTTTTTAACAGAAGTCTGGTTTTGTTACTTTATTTAGACATTGTCTTAACACCAGTCAGGTCGTGGTTCGTCCTCTGCAGTGGCAAGCTTGTAATTTAAGTTGCTTTTATGGACTACAGAGATATCTGCATAGTGATTCATGGAATGTAGGAGGTGCGTCCTTCGAAGTATAAAAAAAAAAATTATTTAAGCACTTGCATTTGGAGCAGGCAAGGCAAATGCAGGTAAGAAGTATAGATAGGTAAGATGGATGATGGACCAAAAGGGAGTAAAGAAGGAAATCCCTTCTGATACACATCTTGACTTCCCTGGGGATGTCAGGCAAACTACATGACCCATTGTTTGTGGAGTCTTTCTCATCAGTGCTAAACCCCAGGCACAGTGTTGGCGTCAAACAACTCACCAGCACATCTGGAAGGGCTCTGACACTTGGCAAAATGCCTCTGTAAATTAATCTCTCCATAAAACAAGTAATATGTTTTCCTATGAATACTCATAGTGTTTTCATGTTTCAAATTAGTTTCCTAATTACTTAGCAAAGAACTTAATGGAAAAGAGTTAACACTTTCAATTTGCTTCCTAAATTCTTTTGAAAAGGCCTTGAATAATCAAAAGAACAAATTATCCAGACTTTTCTTATATTCAGAAAGTCAGATAGTGTTTTCCAGTTATGGAGCCCAGCAGAAAGGGTATGGACATCAGTAGAAAACAGACTTTACCATCCAGTTGCAACAAATACAGGAAAGACATGGTATAGTTAACAGCAGGAGGAACAAACAGAGCAATATATCACTCATAGTAGATGGTGCAACAAAGGAAGGAGTAAGTCAAGCTAAGAATCCAGAAATGGGAAAAGGGATAAACCAAGTCAAAAGTCCAGTCATAGCCATGCTAAAGTCACTATATTAATTGCCAAAGAGAAGCATTGTCACATATATCACTCTTGTCCTGTCCAGCTCTCCATTCTGTTCCACCATTGCTGGAAACTGGCTGCAGCAGACAGCAAGGGAGTCCTTCCAGTAACAAGGGAGCCCTACACAGTATACCTACCCATAAACAAACTCCCCCCCAGTTCACTGCAACCAGAAACAGCTTTTATACTATTCACTTCAAAGGCAGGACACCTACTGGTAACTTCCTAATTGGTTTTCACCCAAGGTTGACCAGGCCTTGAGAGAAAACCAAGGGGAAGGTGTCTCATACTACTGAAGAATCCTCTGCCTGGTTGTGGGAATCATGCATATGTCACCTTTGGGGTTTAGACCCCACCATTTTGAATGGCTATAAGAGACAGCGGTTTTTTAATATATGTTAATGAAGAACTTGTCCTGCAGAAGTTAGCTTTGTCAGGCAGTTCCGTGTCGTCTGCATGGATGTATTCATGCAGATTGTCCCATCTCCACTTCTGCTGTAACTCAGATTTACTCAGGGCACCTGGAAGCACACCTCCGCCTTGGATCCAGCCATTTTTCACAATGCGATGGAAAAGGGAGTCTTTGTAGGTGAGCTCTCGGCCGTCACGGGGAGACTTTGCTCCTCCAGTGCACAGCACACGGAAGTTCTCGCAGGTCATGGGACACACATCTGAAAAGAGCTGCAAAAGTGAGAAGAAGAAGAGGTGTGAAATTCCTAGTTGATGACTACTGCCCAGGTTTCTGTCCTCGCTCCTTCAGCAGGTGGAACCGCTTTGCGAGGTGTGCTTGTTCCTCGCTTTTGCTTTTCTCCTCTGTAATTTACCTCAAAAAGCAGCCTCCCAATGGGCTGTTCCTCAATGGCTATCTCCAGGTACACAAACGCATGCTGAAAAAAAAGCAGGAAAACAAATGCAGTGAAGGAAAGGCCAGCCCACTGTGCTGCACTTGCTGCCTAACACAGGGGTCCAGCTGCCCAGCATACATGGTCTCAGAAAATGTCCGCGGGATTGTCCACACACAACAGCATTCCTAGTATTTTGTTTAAACAAACGATAAAGTAGAAGATGTTTCACTTAATTCTGGACAGAAATAATCCCAACAGTGTGTTAAAAGCAAACTGCTGGGCAAGGCCTGCTTCTTCACCTTCTGCTTATTTGCATGGCCTCTGCAGCCCATGCAATACAGGCAGGAATGACTGAATCCACAGGAATACTGTCCATCCCACCAAACCAGACATTTCTCACTCTTCCCAGCCAGCCTCAAATCCGCGTGCAGTCGATGCTGCATCTTCTGTGGTATTAATTTTGGTATGACATTTTATTTTTCTCTGCTCTCAATACTGTGTCAGTGCCGGGCAGAGTTGTACCTAACATCACTCTGGCATCTCAGGAGGTCTTGGCTGGGAGAGGTTTGGTAGTTGGGCTTTTGGTACCCAATAATAAGAGTATCCAAGAATTTGGTACCCAAGGGCTGGGCAGTTTGGGATTTTGGAGCAGCACAGCTGCAGCATGGTCTTTAGTGTGCTTTTGTCAGACTGTTCAGCCCTAAAGCAGTTAATGCATGTTTGGCATCCCGGTTAGCCTTTGTCCCTTACTGGCTTCGAGAGGCACTGAGGCTCTGCCATCCGTGTCAGGGCATGCTCCCCATCGGCCTCTCCAGCCCCAGCTCTGGCCCTGCTATTGCAGGGCAGAATACAAAAAAACCCCCAACACCATTGATGTGCTCACTCTCCTTCTTCCTTGTGCTGCCAGCCCTTTCATCTGACAACCTCTTCAGCCACTTGCAGACCTTGGACTCTTCATGTAAGGCTACTTGCCTGAAAAAAAAAGTGCTACTTGCCTGGCTGTTTTTCAGATACTTGGTGTAGAAATTCTCAGCAATCGCTTGGTAAAGTGTCTGGGGCTTGCAGTGACAATAGTCCCACTCACAGTATGACCATTTGAGCAGCTCCTTCTCGTCCCCCAGCAGCTGGCCATCAACAAAGCACATCACTGAGGAGGCATATGCCCACACCTCACCTCTCAGCTCCTGCGTTTCCGAGGGAAAACAAAGCCTCCAGGGATTAATTGCACACTTAGTGAAGAAGGAATCAGAAATAATCAACCACAGATGAAGTGGCCTGTGATAATTTTATGTCTTTCCTACTTTTAAAACCACAAATCCTGCCAGGTGGAAGGGAGTGGGCAGCAGTTTTTGGTGAGATGTGCTGAGACTGCACACATTTATGTGCCCTAAAGGTCTGGATCTTGCTGCTATGACAAGAGTCATCTGGGTATCACTTTGGGGGGCAGCTTGACCTGAACAGAAAAAGACACCTGGAGAGCCTCATCCTGTTTCGAGGGTCTCTGAGAATGTTGAATTAATTGGGGTGGAAAAGTTAATTTCTGAAATCTGTGGGTGGCAATGAGCTAGGAGAAACTGCAGCCTCCAGGAGAACACTTGTGAGGCTTACCTTCTTTTTCTTCTGTAAATATTCATGCCATGCAAATTCCACTAAAGGCTGTATGACAGGATTTGCAAACTTGCTGGGAAACTTCAGCTTCAGAGCCTGTATTTTTGAGGTAAGGGAAAAAAAATTGCTTATGAGCAGTTTAAAAGCCTCCCACGCCCTATCGTGTCACAGATGGTATTTCTGTCATGAACTACAACCTCAGCCGTGTTCTGATCTGGTTATTGCTCTGTGCCCCTCATGGATCTGGCATAATTCCTGACACTTGCAGAAGTATATAGGAATTGCTCTAAATTTCTTTTTGTGGAGGTAGTGGCTGTCTTGTTTTTCTACGAAGGGCTGCTTCACAAAAATTATTGAATTATACTGGTATTCCCCCTCCTTGCCATGTGAGATGGATGTAAGCAATAAGATATTAAAAGTCATTGCAGAGCATCACCAGCTGTACTTTTTGCATTCATTTTTGCATGCATGGGGAGTTGTGGTCCCCTGCTGTCCCAGGAGATTGGGCCCCGGGCCTTGGGGCAGGTGAGTGGCTGGGCAAAGGCTGCAAGATGGATGTTTCCAGTCCCTGTTGCATGTAGCACTGCATTAGAAGTACGCAGCTATTTAGATATGGGACATTCCTGTCTATCAGTTTAACCTCATCTCCATGTGGTCTGGGGCACACAAGTGCCACAAGCTGTGGCTTAAAGCTAGCTGAGCTGGCCTTAAAAAGTTTAAAGAGAAGTGAATTTCTGTTCAGCTCACAGTCCCTGATCATTTGGATAGTGGCTGGAAGAACAAAAAAAGGAGGAAAAGCTGAGGCACACCCCCGTGCAGCAGTCAGCTTGGCTTGTCCTTAGGGCTGCTGATGGATGGCAGAGCTTCATCAGCTGTAAATAATGCTGGGGCACAAGCCTGGCAAATGAGCTCTTACAGGCAGGGAGGGCATAAAGGTCAGCATTGTGCACCCCACGGGGGGCTTCGTGCTGCGCATCTGCCGCAGAGCCCAGCTTCTCGTGAAATGCCTGCAAAACCCTGTGAGGTTTGCAGCTTTTTGCTTTCTCTTATGCACCAACAGAGCTGCGTTAAGGGACTTGTCATAAGCTGCTGAGCAAGCTGGGTGGAGCTGTGATGTGCATGACATGCAGCATTGCACAGCTGTAAACTCTCTCGGAGGCGCAGGGCCGGGGAGGTGAGGAAGCTGCAATGGAGACCCCCACCCCCAGCAGCCCTGAGCTGGGGGCCCATAAAGCCTCGGTGCCTGTGCCTGCGGCTGGCAGTGCTGAAGAAGAGCAGAAACACGAAATTTGGAATATTTTGTTTCTAAGAGCCGCCGCCAGGCGCAGGCATTCCTTGGCTTATTTACATAATGCTCCCCGCCGCGCCCAGCCGGGGCGGGGGCCGGGGTCAAAGCCGAAGCCAGGGGGCATTACCTCTGCCACGCACTTGGCCACGTGGAAAACCGGGTCCTGGAGCAGCCCCACCACTGTCACCTGCCGTGGGGCCATGGCGCCCTGGCCGCCACAGAGTGAGTCCGAGTCTGTCAACAGAACCCAGCTCCATGGCAACGCCAGACACACATGCCACAGCATTTCTAAGCACTTTCCAAGCCTAATGGAATATTTATTTCTCATCTTAGTAACAATGTGCAGTCTTGTTTTTTCACTGTATAATCCAAATGGCTTTATAAAGCGATAAATTTGCACATAACCACAGAATTGGAACCAAAAAGCCTATAGCCTCTCAGCTACATCTTTCTGAACTACCCACGTGTATAAAAAATTCAGACCAAGAAAGAAATCTCAGGTTGCAGAAGGGCTCCCCTAGGTAGCTCTGAAGTTTCTCAGGTCTGTATGTGGCTCAGTGGTATTTCCTTGCAGCAACTCCTTAGGGCATCGCTTTTGTAATCATTGTGTTGGGATGTGCAGCAATATTGGATTTGAAGAGCATCATCCTCACAGTATCAAAGACCATGCAGAAAATCAGTTTCTGAAGGGTTAGCTGCCACAGCTGCTCCATTGCCTGGAAGACCTATGCACAAGATATTATAATTTTGTGTTACGATTTTATCCTGCTGGAAAAATGCATAAAATTGAGGGAGGCAGAACAGTTTGGACAAGGGGACATATTAAAATCCTGTGGTAGACAAGGCAGCTTTAATTTGCAGACAGGTACTGGGTGGCAGCAGTCAAGCAAAGATGTGACAGTAGGTGACCACAGCAAGCAGCGTCTGCAGCTGCAGCCACCTCTTGTAAGCTGTGACAGAGAGATGCCAAGGAAAAGCCCTTTCCTTCCTCCCTTCCTCCTCCCAAGGGCCGGCATGATGACAGGCTGTGACAAGCGGAACTTAATTTTAGAAGCCAGACCATATGGCTTCTGCTATAGCCAAAAAAAGTCCATAGCAGCCTTATATAAACTCAAGAAGACAAGGAGCATAATTGGAGTCAAATACAAAATCAGTAACACTTCAGAACATATTCTCTTCACTACCTATTTTTCTCTGCATCCATATTTTTAGCTTTATACAGATAAATAAAACTGAAGTTTATTTAGCCTTTTAAAATGTCTCTGTGAATTTATGATGGGCTTTTTTAATGATGAAAAGAGCAAGCTCAGACCTACCAATTCCTTGCTTTCTCTATCCATTCTTTTGTGTCTCCCTTTCTTTTCATATAATTTTGTAACTCAGGTACATTCAGATCTATTCAACAGGTTGCAAATTATCGAAATTATAAATATTAAAATATTGAACAGGATGACTATTACTCATTTCAGCCTCTTTCTGTTACCTGTTTATGACAACATGATATTGTTCTGTAAGCTTATCCATAGTACTTAGATGAGTGGAAAAGTTTTCCTGGGAGTAAGAGTTAGATGGGAGTTTTACTGATACCCCTCTGCTCGCCCACTGCGGCAGATGTGCCGTGCTGCAGTCAGTCAGGAGAGAGTGACAGTTGCCCTGAAGAAGAACATGGAAAGCACAAGAGGTAGTCCAGTACATTTAAATGATGACACTGAAACCTTTTCAAAGGCTGTGCAACTAACGTAGTTGGAAACTTGGCATCCTTTGAAACATGCACACGTACCCTGACAAGAGACCCAAGAGTTTTGTTTCTGTGGGATTCTCAGAGGGTTTCCTCACTCCAAACCTCTCCAGCTGCTGCAGCCAGCTCAGTTCCTTTCAGTCCAAGATAGCATCTGAAAGAGACTGAGAAAGAGAACAGAAAGGCAGATTGGACTAATTAAAAAAGTACATATTTGAGAGAGGTTTCCCCCACATGGAGGTACTGAAGGTGATCTGGCAGGAGAGATGCTAGGAGTCGCCCAGTGACATTTTGGTGAAGGGTGAGTCAAATGACTACAGCATCACCCTGCTGAAAGCTGCATGAAGAGTAATGCTGTGCTTGATGAAGACACAAATGCCAAATAACACCAGAGCAAATACTTGGGAGAAGAAACATTGCACAGCTTATCTGCTGAAGCTGTGGAACCACAACTGTGTGCTGTGATGACTAGAGGGAAGGCCACCATCTCCTTTTCACACCAGGCCCTTGGGCCACCACAGATCCTTTCTGAGACATACTATGCAGGGAAAATGCAGTTGTTAGATCACCTATCAGTCAAAGCAAACAACACTGGAGACTTCAAAGAAAGTCTCATGCTGCCAGAGAATGAAGGACAGATTCAGCTCTAGAAATAAGGACCTTTATAAGTTTAATCTTCCAGGTGGAAGGCAGAAACCGACATCACTTTATCAATAAATTAAAAGAAAAGCCAAAGGGATAAGCTGATTTTGAAGATGACAGTATACTAACAAGGCTGTCCACAACAATCTGAAGTTCTCCAGGTGACTGCTGTAATAGCTGTGAGGCATGCGCCGTTAGAGGACAAGGAGGATACAGTGGTTTGAGGGGAAGACCCATGAACATGTAAGACTCGGTCCCCTTCAGGAAGGCAGAGACAGTGACATGCAGTTGCAGGTGTTAGAAAAACTTGCAGGACAGGGTAGGGAGTTGCCAACTGAACAAAGCTCTGCGTTCTGCTATTCCAAAGATACATTCCATTAGATGGGATTAAAATACTAGCCAGAAATAAGCATTAAGCATACTACAGTGAGATGCTGGTTTACCTAGTATATACCTGGATGTTTTTTTCCATTCAGAAGAATTGCTTGGGCCAGAAATGAACAGCAGTCCACCTGTTGTAGAAAACATTAGTTGTTATTACTTGTTCCTTCTGCACTCTTGAAGAGAACCTGTAATAGCAGTAGGATTGGGAAGAAGCCTGCACAGATGGAATTCTGACCATGGGAAGATATGTGTATCCAGCAAGCAATTTTGACTGCTGCCCAGGGCACACCTGCTTTGCAAACTCATCTCCTCCCAACCACTCCCAGGCTGGACTCAGCTTCTCCTGAATGACACAGTCAGTGAGACAACCTGCTGCAGAAATGCAAGATGTGGGGAGACAGAAAACACACCAGGCTGCTGTGCTCACATGGGCATTGGGTCAATGATTAGGAATGAATCCCATGCTAGCTTTCATTTAAGGTGAAAAGACTGTAAAGAATCCCAGCACACCAGGATAGGTCTTAGCCAACACCAGGTGAAGTTGTCATCGCCTTTTCCACGTAGACACTAGGAGGCAATTGCTGTAGTGCTTTTTCAGTCCCTCTGAGCAGAGGAGAGCATGAAACAAGGATTTAAAAACCTCTTGCAAAGTTACACGTGCTGGGATGAAGCTTTTCACATTGGTGGGATAATTTGCTTTCACAGCTCATACGAAATAAATATTCTGATATTTATCCATCAAAAATGAGATGCTGGATTGAAGGCCCACCGGTCTGATCCACACTGCCAGTGACTTGGCTTCCACACACAGACAGAAAATTCTCTTGAACTTTAGTGCCGAGGTCAAGAAATTCTATTTACAGCTAAACCATGGATAGAACATAACTGGCAAGCAGAGTAAGCGTACACACAGTAGTCAAATACATGCTGAACAGTGTTTGCTCTACTTCTCAGGGTTTTGTTTCAACTTCCACTTGGAGAGTCAGCCAAAATCTTCAGAAAAAAGCCAAAATTTCATAAGCTTTCATTTGAAAAAAAGAATAGTATAATTCTTTAGAGTTTAGCTACACAGGGTAACTTAAAAATGGAGTAGAAGAAACACAGTGCTGTTAATTGCTCACAAAAATTGATACTTCTGTAGTCTCTTACTGTCCTGTATTTATGTCTAGAATCCTAATCTCATTTTAACATAGTAAGCAGTGAGATGGATTTGCTAAGATTAGTTTATGTCAGAAAATCAGAAGTTATGGTGTTTACTGGCTAAGGAATATTTAGAGAGAGTTGCTTTGAAATGTAGTTTTGAAGGGATGTTTTTTTTCCTAAACAGTTCTTAGCAGCAGCTGAACTAAAAAGCAAAGCTGAAGGGGTTTCCTTTCACATTGAAAGCAAGCCTAGGCTTCGGCTGCAGCCTTAAAAATACACACACAGAAAAGGGATTTATTTTCACTTTTAATAGAAATGCATTTTCTATAAAGGAAGCAAATGGTGTCAAAAAAGCAACATTTGTGGTATGAGAAACCAAGTGAGCTTCTCGGCTGCAGGCTACAATGTGCTGACAGCTGAAGCAGTGCAGGGTGCAAGATTAGTCATTGCTCTGCTATTCACAGAATCTTGTTTCTTCAGTGGTAATTTTTAGAAAAGCCTAAGAAAATTTCATACCCAAGCCTTTTTTTTTTGTTACAGGAAAAGCATTGAGCAATCACTATGTGATAGCAGCTCACACACAACTGTAGCATCGTACTTAATGCTGCAAGGCTAAGTTCATAATGAACAAATCAAAGTTCAAAAAGAGAAGAAAGTATTTAAACTATTTTACTGGTGGTCTGAGAATGTAGCTTGTAACCAGCTTTTAAGTATTTCAGGATTCATAAATAGATGGCAGAGAAGGAACTCAGTGCAGGATCCTGTGAATTTATGATGAGACAGTATAATGGCTGCACACTATTTTAGATAAAATCACAAGTTGTTAGGATGAAAATGCCAGAATATTTATTGTAAGCTGAAATTTATACAACTAATCATGATGATTTTTTGTAATTTTGTAACAAGCTTGACTGTATTTTTTCATCTTTTCTTACAGCATTAAGATTTGAAGCTTCTCAAGTACAGCTGCAGAATATGCTGGTTCTCCTTGGTGGCAGAAAGTAAACAAGTTTTATTTCTCTATTCTGAGAGGAAAGAAGAGGTGAAAAGCCTAAAAAGTTCTGCTGTGGGATGGTTTGGGTTTTTTGTGTGTTTATTTGCATTGATTTAATGGTTGACAGTTGGACCTGATGATCTTGAAGGCCTCTTCCAACCAGAATGATTCTACGATTCATTCCCATTGTCTACCCTTTCCATAATCCATTCAGATAAAAACTGATCTAGTACTTTGAAATAATGGAGGTAGTTACTCAAACTGCCACAGCATATGGTCAGGAGCCAGCCGAGTAGTCTGT